GCTAGGAGCTCCCAGCCTTTTCTCGCTCAGACCTAGGAGTCTGGGTCCCCATCCCCCCCTCCTCCAGGTCCCCCTCACCATTCTCCACTGACACAGAGTCTGGCTTCTTCAGGAAAACGCCAGTGGGCTCCTCAGCCGTGGGAGACTGTTCCTCCGGTGGGGCTTCTGCTGGGAGACAGGATTAGGGGGCCTGAGGCAGGCTGGGAAGGGGCAACAGGCCACTCTGGGGACAGTGTTTAGAGCCAATGAGGGACCCTCTGCTCAGAAGCCAAAGGCCATGGGGCAAAGTGGCTTTTCCTGATCTGGGAAAGACAATGTGTCCCCCAGGACGCTGTGTGACCTTGGCTAGGCAACCTCACCTTTTGGGGCCACAGTTTCCCCATCTGTGAACTGGAGGGTGGTGAACTGGCTGGGGTTGAATGAGGCTTTGGGGTAGGAGAGGTATAAAGATGGACTGGGGTGTTCGGAGCTGGCAGGACTCAGTGAGGAATCAGCCAGTTGCTGGGTCAGGGCTGGAAGGCCACACTGGGACACTGGGTTGTGTCCTGGGGGTGCTGGGGAGCCATTGAAGGCTGTGAGCAAGGGCGGGGTGGGTCAGCTCTGGGGCCCTGGGGAGGACAGGGAGGGTGCGGAGGGCCAAGAGGACCCTGAGAGATGAGGTCCAGGTTCTGCTGAGCCTACTGGACATCATCGCACCTTTGGGGGGCTCTGCGGGCGCCTCCTCAGCGGGGGCTTCCTTGGGAGCTGCTTTGGCATCATCTTTGCCTTCGGGGGCCTTTTTGGCCGCTGTGAGGTAGAGGTTCACAATTGAGCACACGCTGAACACGTTCCTCTTCCAGAACCCAGGCGTCCAGGCCCCAGCTCCCTCCTCCCTCAGGCGGGTGTCTGTTCAGATCCCCAGAGCCTGTGGGATCAGGTTTCCCCTTGCCTCAGGCAGGCTGTGTCTCATCCACCCAGGCCACCGGGCCCTGACCTTTTGGGACCCAGGGGTAAAATTAGCTCTTCCCCTGGGCTGGAAATGGAACACCTTGTGCTGACCGCAGCATCTCAGCCCTGCCCTGCCCTCTGGCTCCTGGCCCACTGTGGCCCCAGCTGCAGTGAGGGGCTGGACCCCCACCCCACAGCCTGGTTGGCCTAGTGCCAGTGGCCTGGACACCTCGGGAGGAGGGGTCCTCCCTAGGGGCTTCTCTTTTCTGTTCATTTCCCCATAGAGAGGAAGCCCCATCCCTATATGAAGAAATGCTCCCCAGGCCCATTCAAAGAAGGGCCTCAATCTGCACATAAAGAAAGGCTCTTAGCCTCTCTATGGAGAAGGTCCCCTAATTCCAACATGGGGAAGCCCCAAACCCCATAGAAAGGAGGTCCCCTGATCCTCATACAGAGCTCTCCTCACCACACAGACAGTAACCCCATTCCCCTACAGAGAAAGGCCCCAATCATCACTCAGAGAAGTGGTCCGATCCCCAGCCCGAGGACCCTAAATCACCATGCAAAGACTCCCCAATCTACACACACAGGACTCCCATCCCCACCCAGAAAAGGGACTCAAATTCAGAGATTCTCCATCTGCACCGAGATGGGCCCCCAATGCCTTACAGAAAAAGGAAGCCCCTCTCTGCACAGGGAAGGGGACCCCCTCCCCACAGAGATGGGTACCCCAACTCTCCTCAAAGAAAAGAACCCCCTTGCTACACAGGGAAGGGAATCCCCATGCCATGCAAGGGTGGGAACCCCTCCCCGCACAGAGGAGGCACCCCATTCTCCCAATCCCACAAAAACAGGAGCCCCTAGTCCCCATTCTGAGACAAGGATCCACCTCCACATAGGGAGGGAGGCTTGGAAGCCACCTGGTTTTGCCTCAGGCATGTCGGCGGATCTCCTCCTGCTCCTCTGACCGCAGCTGTGTCCGGCTGGGCCCTAGGGAGGACAGGTGGGCCCCCAGACGGAGCCCTTTAAGGAGTGCCCTGACTCCCAGGAGGCTCCAGGGGGCATCCGGCGGCCCTCCCCACCCTCCCCTGCTGCCTCACAGTCCACCTTGCTTGCTCTAAAGGGCGAGAAATAACAGCTGGACAAGGAGAGATGGCGGAAAGCCAGGTCCCCAGGGAGGAGGGGGCTGGGTTCCGACACCTGCGTCTAAAGAAGGAGGTGCTGGGTGTCTGGACTCCTGGGTCCGGAGGCAGAAGTGACCTGGGGTCCAGGTTCTTGGGCCCAGAACAAAGGACAAGGATGAGGGCCTGGACTCCTGGGTCCTAGGAGGAGGGAGAGGAAGGAGCTGGGGTAGAAAGTGGGTGAGTGGCACGGGGGTGGGTGGGGGTGGGGAGAGGACAGGGTCTAGAAAGCCATTCTTAGTATCTGCAAGTCAGGAGTTTTGGAGAAACCAGAGCCGGGAGGGAGGGTCCGGTTTCCCAGCGAATGCTGGGCGGCTGCAGGGGGGAGGTCTCTGTGCCCGCAGGGAGGGCACTGAGGCTCGGGGACTCCGGAGTCCCGCCCCCGAGACTGGGCACACCGGAAGGCCTGGGGCCCCAGTCACCTGGGACCCCGGACTGGCCTCCGCCTCTTCTGGGACTGCGCCCGGCCCACTCCCCGCGACGATTCCCGGAGCGGGCGCGGCAGGCACCGGGCGTGGGTGCCCCCAGTGGAGGCGGGTCGGGAGGACGGGAAGGCCCTGGAGGGCTGCCCGGACGTTGGCTCCCTTCCCGGCAGGGGGACCTGAGGCTTTCTGAACGGGGGTGGCGGTGGCTGGACGTTGGGTGGGGGTGGGGGATTGGGGGAGGAGAGTGTCTCGTGGACCCCAGGTGTTATGCGAGGAGGACAAGGTGGGTATGAGAGGGGAAGGGTGTGGGGGGCTTGGGGTTAAGGCGGAGGACGGGGAGGTTGAGTGTCAGGGTGAGGGACCCAATGTAAAGGAAGACAAGTCCCTCCTGGTTTTCTTCCTGACCATCTCCCCACCCTCCCCCTTTTCCAAAACCCCCTATGAGCCGGAAACTTTTCCGCCTCCAGGGAGCGCTAAGCCAACCCGGAGGTAGCTTCCACATGACGTCATAGGTTGCCAGGCAGACTGCGGGCCTAGCGAGTCGATTGAGCATTTGGAGCCAAGAGGGCGGCGCTGCCACCAGGTGCCTAGCGCCCAGCCCTGCCAACCTGAGAGCTATATCCAGAGAGAGGAGGAGGGAGATTCAGAGAGGTTGGACAGAAATCCAGGGAAGGAGGCTAGAGACCCAGACATTGGGTGGTGGGGTGGGGCAGGGACCCAGACAGAAAGGGAAGCAGGGAGAGGGCGGGGTAGATAGAACTCTAGTCGTCTGGAAGAGAGACAGAAATTGAATCGAACGAACCACCAGGGCCTGTAGGTTACTCTGGCCTTCAAGGCTTAGCCTGGTCTGACTCTGCCTCTTCCATCTTCTCTCTTATCTCTCCCCTCACTGTCCCAGTGTCCCTGAAGGCCTGCAGGCCCCGGTGGACCGACAGCATTGCAGTCCTTGACAAAGGGTCCAAGATCTGTCCACCTTGATTTGTTTATTTTATTCCACACTTGGGGTGATGATCGCTTTTTTGCAAAAGGTACATCATTTGCAAGAAGAGGCCCTGGGGAGGGCGTTTTGTCTCTCACAAACCCCTCCCACTCTGGCTCCCTCCTCAAGGTGAGAAGACTGTCCTCTGGAGGGCAGGTCCCACCCAGCCTGGGCTCTGCTACCAGCCGCTGTGCACCCTGCAAGAACCTTTTCCTCTCTGGGTCCACAATGCTCCTTTCCATGGTCCTGCTTGCCATCAATGGGTGGCGGGGTGGATTTCAGATGTATCAAAGGCCTGTGGACCGGGCTGCAAGGAACTTTCGTGACCTTCCTCCTCCTCTCCCCTTTCACAGAAGGGACAAATGAGGCCCAGAAGCAGTCTTTGACCCTACATCCCCCAGCCACCCAGGCTCAAGGACCTGGGACTCTGGCCTCAGCCACAGTTTTTGATACTCCCAGGGGTTCCAATTAGAGTTCCCGCAGTTCACCAGCCTTCACCTCCTGTTCACGCCAGGGGAATGGAAATGCAAATGGTTGGGGGCCAAAGAAACTGAGAGAAACCAGCGGGGTATGACAGCCAGGGGCGGTGGGGTCCCACAACAGAAGCCCATGGTGGGGAGGGGAGCACCACCCTGCTCCAGCCTCTCCCCACTGAAAAGCCTGCCCACTGTCGCTGGATTGTGCAGTTTTAAGTGAAGGATTTTGCAAAATCTCCCTCTATTGAAATGTCAGCTAATTTGGACCTCCCTCCCTCCCCCCCCTCCAAAAAAAACAAACAAAATTGTTACAGTGAACTAAAGAAAACCCCACCGAGGGGGGGGTACCTGATTTGCATCGCAAGGGGAGGGGAATGGGATGGGGAGTAGCCAGTTTGAGACCTCTTATTAAAAATGACATGGGGGAGGGGCAGGCAAGATCATCCATAAATCTGCTGAATGGCCAGAATGGTCCCCAGCACGGCCCTACGGAGGGTCTCATGACAACTCAGCGCTAGTGGTGGGGTCCCCAAAGGGGCAGTATCGGGTGGAAATCCAGGGCGGGGGCACAGATGTGATTAGAGGATCCCAGAGGAGGGGACCCCAGAGGTGGCCCAGACAAGACAAGGTTCACTAAGGTACACCTGCCCTGCCCCCCGCAAGAGTGTTTTCAGACATGACCAAAGGATTCCAGGGCCATCCTACAGGGCCATCCTAGCTGTGATTGGAGATTTTCAGACTTAAAAAAGTGATAGCAGATGGTTCCAGAGCATCAGGGGATCTCAAAGATGACCAAGGGATTTGAGGGGACAGATAGGACAAGAGTCACAGCTGGTCACAGAGATCCGAGACATGATAAAGGTGACCCAGAGGGTCCCATATGTAAGTAGGAGATCTCAGATCTGACTGGAAGGACCCAGAAGTGAGCAGGGATCCCAGAGAGACCCTGGGCAAGGCTTAGGGTTGCTAGCAGCGCCCCCTCCTGGTGTGAAGATCTGTGGGCTCACCTTCCCTCAGATGAGATTGGGGGATCCCAGTCACACAGGAGGTCTGAGAGGTCCCTGGCCTGGTTGACGGACCTCAGACATCACAAGGGGATCCCACGGAAGCTCTTGGGGTTCTGGAAGCACTGCCCTACCCCTCCACACAGACACACTGTATAGTCGTCTATGGGTCCTGTGACTCAGGTCAAGTGGATCTTAGGGATCCTGAACACAACAAGGGATTCCCAGAGGGGCCCTGGGCAGGGCTTAGGGATTATGGCAGCCCCCTTCCCCTAGTGTGGGGGATCCACAGGTCCTATGACCTAGGGTGTGGGGACACCAACGTGACACCGGCGTGGAGCCCCTGAGAGCCCCGAGCGCCCCCCTTGGGCTCAGGCCCGGCGGACGGCGGGCAGCAGCGCACTGTCAAACTGGTAGGTGAGCTTGCGCTTGACCTTGCGGATCTCGCCAGTCTTGGCGTAGTTGCGCAGGGCGCGGGCCAGCTTCTGGTAGGTCATGCGCTTGCGGTTGCCCTTCTGCTGGCCCCAGCGGCGCGCCAGGAGCTCCTTGTGCTTGGAGGAGAACTGGAAGACGCCGGCGCCTGGCTCCACCCACCACACGCACTCACGCATGTCGCCGCGCGTCAGCAGCCCCAGCAGAAACTGGTACAGGCGCAGCTTCTTACGGGCTCCTGCAGTGGGTGGAGGCGCGTTAGGGGAGGTGTCCTGTGGGCCCCGCCCCCACGCCCACCCTGCTCCCGCCAGGCCTCAGTCTCCCCAGGGAGAGAATTGGGGTGAGGGAGGTGGCTGTTAGATACACCTCCCTGAGTCTGTCTGCGTCTCCACCCCGTCTGAGGCAAGTCGTTCTCCCTCCCTGAAGCTGTTTCCCCAGAACCCTCATCGCCCTTCCCTGCTTCTTTTTCAGGATTTGCTTCTGTCGCTGTGCTGGTGGCCAGCGCATAGTAATACATATTTGTTGAGCCCATGGGTGAGAGAATCTGTGAAATGGGTTGACAGTGCTCCTCGAAGGCTTATACAGAGAGCTAACTGGTGGTAAAGAGACCTGGAGTGGGTTTGAATCTGCTTGGCCATTTCTCCAGTTCTGGGTCTCCCAGCCTGTCAGCCCCAAAGGAACCGGGATCCTGGGAAAAGTCAGGGGGTCTGACTCCTGGGTTCCTATATGCAGCAAGGATCCCACAGAGCTGGGACAGGGTGGTCATAGCAGGGCACTGGATACAAGAACCCCACCTCTGCCATTTCCCAGTTGTGTGACCTTGGGGTGGTGACTTAACTTCTCTGAGCTGGCATCTCCTCAGCTATAAATGAGACTAATGCATGCGTGTGTTTATTTTACTTTTACGAACTTTGTGTCAGGCACTGTGCCAGGCGCTTTACGATTATGAGCTCATTCATCTTCATCAATAACCCTGAGAGATGGGGGTGATGGTGATGACGCCCATTTTACAGATGGGGAACTGAGGCCCAGATAAGGTCCCTAATGATCCCAACTTCCCAGGGGTTGTGCATAATGGATGTTGGGCACATGGATTGACTAGACGGGAGTTGACATGGTGATTATTTCTGTTGCTATTGTGTCAATAATGATGATGAAGACTTATTGAGAGCTCACTCTGTGCCACATGCTGCTATCTTGTTTACATGTATTCTCCTACTTAATCCTCTCAACCACCAGTAATAAACACTCTTACTGTCATCCCCACTGTACAGATAGGAAGCCAAGGCACAGAGAGATAGGTAGACGCCCAAGGTCACACAGCCAGCAGGTGGCAACCTGGGAACTGCCCTCAGCACTGGAGTATTATAGGTACTTGGGAAGCCATGGTCCTTTAGCCCCCTCCTCTCATCTACAGTTGGACCCCTCACCCCACTAGCTCCCACATACCTGCCTCGGATCCCCTCCCCTCGGGGCCAGTTACAAGGGCCTCATCTGACTCGCTGTCTGAGACTTCCAGGGCGGGACTGTCCAGCAGGAGGTCCTCCTCTTCCGACAGCACGGGACTGGGATATGGGGTGAACGCCGGGGGACCCAGGGTCTGCAAAAGGTCAAGGTCAGCTGCAGTTTGGGGGCCCCCTTGGCTTCTTCCTCCAAGGCCAAGCATTGTCCCTCCCAGCTCTGTTTACAGCCTGCACTCTGGTCTCGGGGCTGATCTCCATTGCGTGGTCAGGGGACACCCGGACCACCTCCATGAAAGCCTGCCCCACACAGATAACAGCCATCTGTGGTGCCCCTTGGCTCATGTCTGTGCCTCTGTCGGCTGGTTTGTGCAATGTAATCATAACGGTACTCAACCTCAGAGGGAGGAAGGGGTTGATATATGCACAGGTTCTAACCCAATGCCTGGCATCAGCAAACCTCAATCAAATGGTGGGGATTCCAATTGTCTTTTTGCCCCTTACCTGGGTGGTGAAGTCCTCTGTGGGGTACGCTGGGAAGCTGGGCCCTGGGGCCTCTATGCTGGGGGTGGGATCGAGGCTCCCTGCAGGGCTGTAGGTTGAGGGTCCGTAACAGAGCTGGACACCCTGGGGTTGGCCAAAGGTGGCCACGGCAGGGTCGAAGGCTTCATAGGAAGTGGTAGGGACAGCTGGGGCCTCATTCCAGCCCCACAGGGAGTCTAGGGAAAGGGTACTGAGTCAGAAGCCAGGAGGTCTGGCTTCAGCCCCCTCCCACTGGAAGCCCCTGGCACAGAAGGGCCATTGTGGGCCTTGCAAATCTCTCACCCCAGGATTTGCATGGGTGAACAGGTGGGTGGGAGAGGAAAGGGAGGAGGCCGGAGGCCTGGGCTAATCTTGACCTGCTGTGCGAGGGGACAACTTCCCCTGGGCTTCAGCTCCCCCATCTGTGAAATGGGCCCAAGGGGCAGGTGTGGAGGGGCTTAGGCAGGGTCACTCACCAGGAGCCCCCTCTGAGTCAGAGTAGCTGGGATGCTTGCAGCTGTCCAGGTCGTAGAAAATTCCATCTGGGTACTGAAGAGGGGGAGAAAGAGGGGTCATCCATGCTCACCCTGGATGAGCAGGGAGGCTCCAACAGGGACAGGGAGAGGACGCAAGAGGCTGGGACAGGAAGAGAAAGAGAGAAACACAGGAACTCAAAGAGAGAACCACATAGAGAAAGACACAGAAAGACAAAAGGAGAGGTGCAGAGAGACACAGAGACTAGGCACCAGAGACAGAGGCAAAGAGAGAGATGTACAGTGATACAGAGAGAGGAGACAGACACAACATAGCAGAAACACACAAAGACCCAGAGAGAGTCAGAATGAGAGACACACAGCAGCCAGTTCTCGCTAAGACTGTGGGCTCCTGGGAACCCCAGCACCTCCCAGTACACAGTCGGCACATTATCATGCCTGGGGAGGTATGGAAGAATTTCCCCAGGCTTGCCTGCCCGGGGGCAGGAGGGTGAAAGGTGACACAAAGTCTCAGTGCTTCCTTTATCCACCTCCATATTGCTTCATGTCTCGCTTTAGAAATTAAAGTCTTGTAAAGACTAAAGCAAGGTATATATCATCTCAATAACCCAGTCATCTCACTCCTAGTTATTTATCCCAAAGGACTGAAAACGTATGTCTACAAAATAGCCTTGCTCAAGAATAATCAGAGCAGCTTTATTAATAGCCCCAAAGGGGAAACAGCCCCAGTGCCCATGGACAGGAGAATGGACACACTAACGGGGGTCCTGTGATGAAGTACTAAACAGCAAAGAAAAAGAACCGGCACTTGACATACGCTTGATGTTGAACAAAGGAAACTAGACTCCAAAGAGACCCCCTGAGTGATTCACCTAATGGAAAGTTCAAAACTGGACAAAACTAGTGCATGGTACAAAATATCAGAGTGGGTATCGATGGATCAGTGGGAAAGGCACGTAAGGGAATACCCCGGAGTGATGGAATATTCTGTCTTGGTCTAGTTAGTGGTCGCACAGGTGTGTGTCTAATGTAAACCTCACTGAGCTGTACACAAGATGTGGCACTTTACTGACTTGGAAATTATGCCTCAATGTTTTTAAAAAAGCAAACTCGTCACATTGGAGCAGGGAGGGGCGCCCGAAGGGGTGTCTTTCAAGGCCATGAGTGAGTTTTAATTCTTGGACTAGACTGTGGGCTTTAGGTATAATATTCTGGGTATCTGATATATTACAGATGAAATTTTTGAAAACATAAAGCAAAGAAGAGAAGGAAATGAAGAATGAATATATTTGCTGAATATGGGATAGACAGAAACAGAAAGTCAACGATACAAAGACCCCCGCATCCCAAGGAAGTAGACCCAGAGCCTGAGAGAGGGAAAAGGACATTAGAAAAACATCTGAGATGGAGATGGTGTGTGTGGAGGAAGTGGGGGAGACACAGAGGGAGAGTCAGAAAGGCAAAGTGACAGGGAGGAGCAGAGAGGGAAATTGAGGCAGGGAGGTCACTGTGGGCCACGTGGGTCCCCCCCACTCCTCCCTGGCCCCAAGGACCCCAACTCACCAGACAGCTGAAGTGTGGCCCGTCGAGCCTGGAGGGGGAGAGACACAGGGGCATGTCAGGGGTGCCTTCAGCCACCTGTCTTGAAGTGGTTGGGGGGCCGGTGGGAGGGAGGCAGCTGCAGCTGTGACCACCGCAGCCTGTCCGCTATGTGTTCATGTGTGAGACCAGCTCCACCACACTCCCCCATTGGGACAGGAAGTGAGGGGCGGGGGCCAGGCAAATGTCCCCCCTCCCCTGGGATTTGCATAACCAGAGGCTGGGGGGGCCCGCAGGGAAAGTGAGGGAGAGAAAGTCCCCAGAGAGATATGGGTGCCAGTGGGTGAGTGGGGGCAGGGAGGGGGCCTTTGTTCGCCAGTTGGTCAAATGTGTCCACCATGAACAGGAGATGGAGAGATGCCCGGGCAGAGATGGAGACACAGAGAGACTCAGAGGGGGAGTAAGGACAACAGGGAAGGGAGGAAGGTGTGGAGACATTTACCAATGGATGCAGGAAGTATTTACTGAGCCCCAGAAACAGAGAGATGGGTCGGGGAGAGACTGGGGACAGGAGAGATAACACAGGCGGATGGAAAATTGGAAAGTGGTTGAGAAAGAGACAGAGGGAGCAAGGGGCAAAGAGAGGCCCAGAAACATAAAGATGAGGCAGGAAGCAGAGAGAAGCAGACACAGTGAGCAGGACCCAGTGGGACTATGGGAGAGACAGAGATGGAGGCGCCCTGGGAGAGACATCAGCAGTGGGGGAGAGAGGCAAGCCCCCCACGGAAAGGAGGTCTTTGGGGTCCAGGGAAGGAGGGGATGGAGGAAAGATTTAGAGGTGGGAGGGGATAAAAGAGACCCAAAAAGGATAGGAGTCAGCGTGAACACCCCCCCACACCTGCAATGGGGCTAAGACCACTGGCTGGGGGAGGCCCTGCTGAGGGGCTGGAGGGGTGGCGTGGGCCAGGATCCCGAGTGCAGGTTTAGGGGCCCCACTCACTGTGCAGCCTCCAGGGCGAGCATGGTGGTGCTGGGCTGGGTTTGCTGCCGGCTGCAGCCACCACCCCTATTTATACCTTGGCCCAGCCCCCTGGGGGGCAGGGGTGCCAGGAGCTCAGCCCTCCTCAAAAATCCCCTCAGGGAGGGGGTCGGGGAGGGGGCTGGATTGCACAACCTCCTGGTCACGTGGTGGGGAGGGCGGGCCCAGGAGCTGCATGGATTTGGGGATCCCCACAGTTGGGAGTGGGGGGGTGACCCTGAGGGGTAGAGACGGGAGAGGTACTGAATTTGGGGGACCCTAAAAAATAGAGGGGCCAAGAGGTCCTTGGTCAGTGAAGTGGGGTCATAAACGGAAGGGGGAGGTGTTTCTGAGGAAAACCCACGCCCGAAGCAGATGAGGACCCCAAGGTGGAAACATCATGGGTGTATGACGAGGAAGGGGAGTCCCTTGGGTCTTGTGGGGAGTGGGAGCCTCTGTGCCAGGGGCTGCCCCAGGCCTGGAGGAAACAGGTCAGCACCTGGAGGGCTGGCTGGCCCCCAGGGATGATGGGCTGAGCAGAGAAAAGCTTGTGCTTAAAGATGTTGACTCAGGACCTCCAGGGGAGACCGAGGCAGGTTTGATGTGTGTGGGTTGGTGGCAGAGGCAGCAGCCCAGCAATCTTGTATAGAAAAGAGAGGGTACAATGGAGGCCTCCTGAGGGTCAGGGGACCCCAGTGAGTGGGGATGACCCACCACAGCCAGAACCTGACAGTGGACCTTGTCCCCCAGACACCACAAAACACCAGGTAACAAAAAGCCTGAACTTTATTAATTCTCCACCAACTGCAACCCCCAAGGCCCTTGTGGGAAACCCACTGAGGTCAGAGGTCACCAGACCTCAGGGCCAGGGGGCCCAAAGCGTCTCAGAAGCTGCTCCTGGTCTTCCAGGTCCTTCCGCACCTTCTTGCGCATGTAGAAGATGGGGCAGTCCTGGCTGTGGGCAAGGTTAGGGGTCAGGGTTGGGAGCAGGGTCAGGGCTGGTTGCCTGGGGCTGCAGTCTTGCTGCAGCTCAGCCCAGTGATGGGGCGGGGGCAGTTCCCAGGACTTTGACCCCGGCCTGCTGCCCACCCACCCCCCTCCCGTGTTGGGCTGTTTGCTCAGCGGGCATGGGGGGAGCCGATAACAGCGGGTGCCCGCTGAGGCGCTGGGCCACCAGCCGTATATCACCTGTCACCTGGCGTGGGAACCCACCCCGCCCACCCGTTCCCTGGGGAAAGCCCGGCCCCGCCCTGAGGGAGGGGGTCAGGACTGGGGGGGGGGGCTTGCTCCTCAGATGTTAGTTAATATGGCTGCAGCTTTAAGAATTTGACCTTGCGGTGCATACCATACATGCTGCCTTGGGGGGGGGGGCAGCAGTGTGGCCATTTCCCAGGCAGATACAGGTGCCCGGCCCTGCCCCACTGAACAGCTCCCCACCCCCGACCCCTGGGAGGGCTGGGGCAGGCACTGGCCCGTTTTACAGGCTAGGACACCAAGGGTCAGTGAGACCCCACAGCCCAAGAGGGATGTGGGATGGGGCGCTGCTGGAGACCCTGGAGTTGGGGCATTGGTCCACAGGCCTCAGGAGCTTAGGGGGACCTGGGCAGGTCAAGGCGAGGGTGGTGGGGGTGGACAGGTGTGCGTACCTGGTGCAGATGACATCCTCGTGCAGGCTGCCCTGACAGCGCTGGCACTGGGTCCAGAGACGTGAGAAGCGCTCCTCCAGGGCGTTTAGGTGCGACACCTGGGGATGGTGGAGCTGAGCAGGCAGCCCTGGCCTCACCCCTACCCCCGAGTGCCCTCCCACGACCCCTCACCTCCTTCTGATACAGCTCTGACTCCCGGGGCTGGCAGAACTTGCACACGGCTCCTAGGGGCAGAGGTCAGCAAGGGGCGCTGGGGGCGAGCCAGGACCCGGGCCGCCCCATCCCTGTCCCTTCCCCACCCGCTGCCCATCCCGGCTTCTGAAAGTCCCCAGAGATGAGAGAACAAGGGAATGAGTGTGTGGGGAAAACTCCCCGGGGAACTCCCAGGTCTGAGGGTCCAGGACCCCCTTGGGGTGTGACTGCAGAGAGGAGCCCCCCACCCAGGGGCCAGGGCCTAGACAGGCAGCAGTGCCAGCTTGTGGGGCGGGTGCTGGGGACCCTGGGCAATGGCAGGGTGGGTGGAGGGTGGGGAGCAGGGTCTGGGGTCAGAGCTGGGGACTGCGCTCACCCTGGTGGCTGAGGACAGTGCGGCAGCCGATGCAGCAACTCTGACGCTTGGCAAAGGCCAGGAGGCCGCCCACCTTGCCCGTGAGCACGGTCTTGCACCGCGTGTGGTCCCCCCCTGCAGGTGATGGGTGAGGACAGGCATGAGCTGGTGCCCTCTCCCAGCTCTCTGGGCACCCCCACCTGCCCTGGGCACCCCCGTACGCAGCAGCACGGCCTCGGCGCGGCCCTCGCCCAGGATGGGCTCGAAGATACGCAGGAGCGGCTTGGCGAGCTGCTGCTCTAGGTAGTACTGCGTGTCGATGGGCAGGCTGTGTTCCAGCACGAAGAGGGGGTCCTGTGGGCAAAGTGGCCTGAGTGGTCACAGCTGGGGCCAAGAGCCATGGTCCACAACAGGATGCTGGGGTGAAGGGCACTAGGAGCCACTGGGGGGCTTCTGGTCATGAATGGAACCCTGGTAACGGGGTAGTTGCTGGACCTAGCACTGCCATTTAGGGACTGGCATCAAGGGGGAAATGTGGGCCTGGGAAGGGGTCAGAGGTCATGGGGGACCCTGGCCATGGGCTCTGTGATCCATGCTGGGGTCCACAGGTGGGGCCCACAGGTCACCAAGGCAGGTCAGAGTTCATGGCAGGGGGTTGAGGTACGAAGGTGGACAGGGGCTGGAGTGGGAGGCTGGAAACGGAGAACAGGAGTGGGGGGCAAGGGGGACCCTCCAGAGGGTGCAGGCCGGCCTGGCAACTAAACATCATGGAGCTCCTGGGTGTGCTGGGGGTGGCTGTCAGGGCCCCGTGGAGCCCACAGCGGGAAACACCCTCCCCTGGGCTCGGAAAGCAGAAGTGAGAGCAGGGAGGGTTGGGTGGCGTGGGCAGCCCAGGTGGGCCTGACCTCAGACTTCATGTAGGCAGCCACGCCCTTGGCAGCACCGACGATCACGTATGGAACCCGGTCGCCCAGGCTGGGTGCGCTCCCGGGGTCCCGCTTCCTCATCCTGTGGGGAAACCAGTGGGTAAGGACAGGTGGCACAGAGGGCTGGGCGCCCCGCAGGGAGTGCTGGGCTCAGCTGGGGCGGGCCGGCCCCCACTGGGCAGACCTCTCGGCCAGCTCCACGTGGGCCTGCTTGCCAGCATAGTCGGCGGCTGCGCGGGTCAGCTCCTTGGTGATGACCAGTTGGGAGATGTCGATACGGTTGCACAGCAGGTCCGAGATGACATCCTGCGCATGGGCCACGGCACCCTTGGGGTCTCTGAGGGTCAGATGGGGGCATCAACAGTGGCTGCTGAGGGCCAGGCTGGTATCTCTGCCTCCCCAAGGCTGGGTGACCAGGATAGGCTCTGAGGGCTGAGTCCCAGGGCGGGGAAGAGCCCTGCCCAGCCATAGGCTGCACAGCGGCAGAGACAGGGCCTGAACAAACAGCTGTACAACCTCATATTCTTTCCACCACTCCGCCACTGAAACAAAGTTGGCCTGACACCTGTGTCCACAGGGGAGGAGGAGGCTAGGGGCCTGGACTCCTGGGTCTGAAGGAGGAGGCACTGGGGACCTGGACTCCTGGGTCTGAGGGAAGGGGGCTGGGACCTAACCTCTTGATCTATATCAAGGGTCCTACACACCGGTCAATGAGCAGGCGACGCAGCGAAGCGGTGACGAGGTTGGCCACTAGGGGGCAGTTGTCCCTGCGCACAGCTTCCAGGCCTTTGCAGTCCATTCGGTCATGGACATCAGGCCGGGAGGAGAAGAGTAGGCCTGCGTAGCGCTTCTTGCTGATGAGCAGGTAGGGGAAGTAGACCTGGGGGGAACCTGTGGCTGAAGCCCCTGAGACTGTAGAGGCCAGTGCCCAATCCTGAGATGTCCCCCAGAAACTGAGGACAGACAGCGATGGTCCCTGTGACGCGGGATTGGGATGCTTGGGGGGATGGACCCTAACACCGCAGCGCCTGAGCCCGGGAACATCCTCAGGACACCAGGACCCCCAAATCTGAAACAGACTGGGATAAACCTAGAGACAGGCCCTAAACATGAGATCCAGACGCTGGGATGAAGCCTGGAGAGCCCCAAATCTGGGTCTGGGGCCGACCTGAGGCAGATGGGGAATTCAGGGGACACCCATCAAAGAGACTAAGGCCCAGGAGTGAGCTCAGAGGCAGGGACCTCCCAAAACTGGGAGGCTCCGAAACCAAGAGAAGGTGTGCCCCGCAGCCCGACCCTGGTTTGAACCCTGTGGATAAAGTCCAGTGTGAGAACTCCTGACCGGAGCCTGCCACGTGCTTGGTGTGGGGAGCCCTGGACAATGGCACCCTGATTCAGGGTCCCTACTGCCAAGGGCAGCCCTGACACCTGAGAGATTATCAGGAAATCCCAAACCAGAGACACTCCCAAGACTGATAAGGTTGTCAAAAAATAGACACTGTGCTATGTGCAAAGCCCAGGTACCTTGAGAATCAGAGGCCCCTCAAAACTAGCAAGACGCACAGTGCCCACTCCAAGACCAGGGATGGGGAGCACTTACCTTCTCAAACTCGAGCCGGATGGGCGGGGTGAAATGGCCCGACACCCAGTCCGCAGCCTCCCGCCCCAGGGCCATAGCCTCAGCCACAGAGGAGACACCAAATCG